CAAAAAAAATAATATCAGTGTCAAATAAAGCGAGTGAAAATTGCTACCCGGTGGTTTTCGATGCTTCCGTATCCCCCGCACACTTTAAAAAGCATACAAACGATATTCGGACAAAAAAATTCTGTGCTCGCGCTTGGCGCTTATTACACTGACTATTACTGGTCTAGATCCATAGTTATTTGTAATTGTTGCACCTCATCTTTTTCTTTTTTTAAAAGAGAGGGCAGAGGCTTGGCCGAGATAGCCCACAAAAGGATAGCATTGAGATGTTCTGCCCAATGCTGTTAAATTCGCACCAAACGTATTATTCGAATTAAATTCGCATACGAATTTTTCTCTGAAAATTGCCGCATGTAAAAAAATATACCAAATACGGGAACAGGAAATTACGTGCCCGCATCAAAATGTTCACGATTGTTGGCTTTGTATGGTCGAATATTGCCAAAACATGTGCTTCCCGCAACAGGTGCGTCGTTACTGGTCAGTGACTAGCGTGCAGCGTGGGTACTGACCAAGATCGCAAGGCCAAGGGGTTAAATTTATTTCATACCCGAAGACGCTATGCAATTAAATGAAGTAAACTAGGTAACTTCTCTTAATAAACTTGAATCACTTAATTTCCTCCAAAGTCTATTCTACTTGTCGACAAGTAGAATAGACTTTGGAGGAATCGCGATTTACTGGTAGGTAGTGCGCCATCGACAGTGAGCCGCGCGTGCCGACTGTAGGATGGTTTTTTAGCGCTAATTTCGGCCAGCACAATTTTCTTCAAACAAATAAATATTGAGTATCCTTCCCGACCTCCAATTGCAACAAAAATTGGTAAGCTTACTCATAGACTTACAAGGAAAGTGTCCGAAAAATTTAAAGCATATCCAACCAACAGACATTATGTTACAGCTAAAAGCAGCGTATTTTGCCCCATTTTGATCACTATATCAACTCTGATATCCACCAAATTTTTCGGACAGTTGTAAAAGCCCTATTGGAAGGTCCTCGCCAATTTTCAGAATGATCTCATTTAAGGAACTGAAGATAAATCCGAATAATACGACAAAAATGGTCAAATTTGGACGAATTTGGTCAAATTACGCGACTTTTACAGCTACTTTTGCTCCAAAAGCCGCGCACCATCAAATATGGCACTTAGGCGAAATTCACTGATCTTTCCAAAAAGGTATGACAAATTTGGTATTGTGAAAATTCTCACAGTCTCTAGAAAACACTGGTACAAAAATTTTTAAAATCCGAGCAAGTTTATTTTTATCGTGCACCTCCTATTACTGGGCCGCGCTCAGCCTGTCATTCCGCCGAATCTCTATTGAACATTTGTTTATGAACATAATAGCCTGAGGTCCCCAGGTAAGTCGCGATTTTTAAGTTTGATTTTGAAATTTAAAGTATAACGTCACAATTCACATGTATCCAACTAGATTATAGTTATAGACTCAAGAATGCTGCGCGTTCCCACAGCCACATTTTATCCGAATTTTCAGCGCATTTTTTGACGAATTTAACAGCCCTAAAAATTAAAACTTGAAGTTGTAAATTTGCGAATTATTCGCGTACTTTTTTAAAACTCTTAATAATAATACGCCGTACTTTTTGACGAAAATTTGGCGAATTTAACAGCCTGGGCTCTGCCTTGTGCCTACCTCTGAACCTCATTTGTTTGAACTGGAATCACCCAGAACTTGTAGGTTTACAACCTACCAGGACGCGCGCCGAGTTGGACTCGGTCCAATATATGGAACAGATATTTTACGAGTATCACCCGTTAACCCAGAACAGATTACCGTACTTAATAGTGCAGTGGCACCTCGTAAAGGGTGTACTATGGTCATTTAAATAGGCCTAGGAGAGGTTATAAGTTGCACGATCACTATTTCCGGAGACTATAAAAATCTCTTGCCACCAAGACCAAAGACTATAAAAATCTCTTATGCCACCAATAAAAATTTCTTGCCACCTGCAACATGCAAAACAGTAGCGTTTTTTAGCGTTTAATTTGGATCTTAAACTCAAGTCAGACATACCTCCCACCTTTTTAACCGGTGAGGGCATGAAGCTGTGATTACAACTGAGATTTAGTTATTCATTAGTGATAAGTGCATAGAAATGACGATTCTGAGCTTTAGCGGTGTCTAGGTAGCGCGCGGTGTCTATGTAAGCTTAGCGACGTCTAAAAGTAAGGGAAGGGGGTACTGAAATGTATTATTGAGAGTTGCGCGCTCGGTGAAACATTTGCGTTTGCTGATTTAAAGGAGAGAGGTTCGGATCTGCACGGGCTTCGATGTGGAGCTTGTCGTGTTGAATGAAGGTTGCTAGAATTTGGGTTATGGTTGAGTGAGTATAACACTTTCTTAGCAGACCTTGAGAATAACCAGGTCTAGTCTAACACTAAGTTGTGTTTCCATTATTTCACTAGGAAAGTTAAGCTGTCTTCCAAGATCAGATAAAACCCCTCAATGTCGAACTCAACTCTGCTCAGAATACCAAACCCACGACTCTCCTTCTTACTACCTCATCACATTATTCAGTTATACACATAACGCATAAGCTTCTTCATTTAACGGCTTAGTGGCTCAGTTTTAACGGCTTAGTGGCTCAGTTGGTTAATCTGCCTGGCATTGCTTGAGGTACCAGGTTCGATTCCCGACTCTGTCACTTATTATAGCCGTGTCGTGAGCGTCGTCGACGCTCAGCTAAGGCATAAGGCATAGAGGGCCTCAGTGATCTATGCAGCCCCCCGGTCCACTCAGCCAAATACTCGAGAAATCGGGTGTAAGGGTTTAATGAGGAGCTGCTCATTGCAGCAAAGTCTCGGGCGAAGAAAGTATTGTACACACTATAGCTTAAACGTCACTGGCCAGTGGCCTAATGTATAATTGAATCCTTTGGCTTCCTGTAATTGGTTGGTTACACACTTGTGTAACAATGTGGCTGTTGGAATGTCCGAAGTAAAATAAGTGTTGAGATAAAAAAGTAACAAAAGCTTTTCTGATTTAAAGGGAAATTTGCAGTACATTCAGAGTTTCTAGGTTCACAGACACATTTTGATGAGGAACGTTCAAAGTATTTAATTGTCTAAATGTGTTTTGCTGGAAGTAGTAACGCCTCAAACCTAATGATCATGGAGTTTCTAATTCTACCTTGATAAATAGAATTAGAAATATTGATAAATATAATCAATGCTCCCGCATTGATTATATTGATCAATGTAAATTTTGTTAATATTAAATGATGATTTGTCCTTTCTATTTAATTCGCTTCTATTCATTCTTCCATTCATTAAAACCAATATTCTATCCATTAAAATTGGGCCACACCCTTTTTTACCTTTAACGGGCCACACCCTTTTTTACCTTTAACGGCGTAATTTTGCCCTATTTTCATATTATTTTAACATTTTGGCTACCTTGATCTGTCAGTACAATTACCAAGGAACATGTGCGACCATTAAAGCTAGAAAATCAACGACTAGCGGTTTTCGCATAAAAAATTGCATAATTTATGCAAATTCGGCCTATCTAATCGTCCATTTTTGGGAATTGGGATTCAGGCCTGCTGGAAAAAGGAACAGTTTGCAATCAAAAGCGTTGAATTTGGATCTTAAACTCAAGTCAGACATACCTTAACCGCTGAGGGCATGAAGCCGTGATTACAACTGAGATTTAGTTATTCATATTTCATTTTCATTAGTGACAAGTGCATAGAAATGACGATTCTGAGCTTTAGCGGTGTCTAGGTAACGGTGTCTAGGTAGCGGTGTCTAGGTTATAAGCTTAGCGATGTCTAAGGGAAGGGGGTGAAATATATTATTGAGAGTTGCGCTGATAAAACATCTGCGTTTGCTGATTTTAAGAGGGGAAAGGTTCGGATCTGCACGGGCTTCAATTAGTAAGAGCCCACAATTCAACAATATAATATTCAGTACATTGTTTTATAAAAACAGCGTAAACTACTTGTTTAATTTTCGCAATATATATTCGGTATTCTATTTTTTGAAAATATACACTGTTATATTTATAAATACAGGGTGGGCCAAAAGTCAGTGTGCAAACGTTGGGTCTTATACCTCCGCCGTGTTTTATATTTGAGAGCTGTTGCTTTGCAGATGGCATACTGTACTTACTGGTTCGAGGATTCCGTCGTCAAAATTTGAAAATTCGAATATTTTAGACCACGCCCATTCAATATTAAAACACCTATATTGTTTTCTCTGAACATGCTGAACGCCTAATTTTTTCAGAGACGGTAGATTATCAAATGTTGCATATGATCTGAAAACATGAGGCAAAACGGATTAGAAATAACGAAGTTATCAAGCATTTTGTGTATCTCGTTAACAAAATTGACTGGGTGATTATGTGACACCGTGACACGACACCTTAATTGGGCACCCTTAACAATTCCCATAATGTTTAACGGGGTCACCTTATCACGTGATTAGGTAAACCAATCACCTGATCACACGTAATGAATAAACTCGTTATGCTTCATATCTCGGTCATCTGAGAAGCTACAGTTCTAATTCTTTCAGGGCAAACGTAATTCGAATGGCCAAACACAATTCAATAACATTTAGCTTGATCCGACTATCCAAACTATCAAATAAATGTGAAAATGAACCTCCATTTGAAAAAAATGAACGCGAATATTTTTCGAGTTGACAAATTCCTCGAACCAGTGGTGGTACTAAGTCATACCAGAAGAAAGTATTTCAATTGGGCACTCAGTGACTGAGCTATTAAGGCCAACGTTTGCACACTGACTTTTGGCCCACCCTGTATAATGTCAAGATATAATTATAACTATATTTTAATTAATATTAGTTGTTATATTTTTTTCTGAAAATTGTCATTTTACATATCATTGGTGAAGTAACTATGTGTTCGCACTGTAAGTGTACAGTGCAATGGTCACAGATAGAAGTTCGATCCTAACAAACTAAACTTGATCATAACAAATACAATTCAATCGAACCATGAACCTTTAGGGAAGTTTTCCAAGACAGACTAACGCCGTGATGATTTTGTTCCTGACACTACTGTTCACAACAGTTGCCTCAAAACCGGCTGACTTGGACGAGATGGACGTGATTGGTGGAGACCTCCTGAAATTACCTAAACCTGCATTAGATCTACTCAGCGGAATGGAACATCTGATCGGGACGTACAACTGCGATATCGGAAATGCTCAATGTGATGCTTTTAAAGCTCAAAAAATGATAGATGATCTAGAGTTTGGGAAGGTGAACTGTGATGATGGAACGAATGAACTACTTTGCAGCCAAGCAAAGCAACTGGTCAAGGCAGGTGAGGTGGCGTCTGACGAAGACATAAAGGTAGCCCTGCTAAAGAGCTACGAGACACTGCTGGTCAATAATGAGAACTTGGATTTACTGAATGCTGTCTCAGAAGCCATGGAGAACTATATCTGCTACAAGGAACCAGCATTGTGCAACATCTTAAGGTATTGACTTTTGACTTCGAGCGCATGATCGGATATTTGATGCAGATGGAAGGAGCTAAATATTTTTAACTTTATTGTTTTAGAAATTAATTCAGAATAAAAATCAGTGTCTTGCAAATTGGGATATTAACATTTATCCTGTCACTCTAATTTTAACCGCTGATTGTCTGATTGATATGGTTATAATTTGATTTTTCAACCGACCACTGTCCTTCATTGATTAACATTGATGTGAATTTTCAGTGAAATGGAGGCACAATACCGGAAGTTTGAGAAAGATGCCAAACCAGCAGTTTGAGAAAGATAACAAACAGTAGACATTCTCAGAAGAACAGATAATACAAAAAAAAACATTTTTATGAACAATAGACGTATTAATTTCTGTGAAAATTAGATTTGGCTTTTATTTTGTAAAATATTCGGTATTCTGTTTTTTGAAAATATACACTGTTATCTTACTATATATAAAGCGAGACGATATATATATATATATAATTCGAACAATTGAAACAAATCAAATTGGCGGGCAAACGATCCGTTTCATGATATGTATAAAAACAATACCAATCATCAGTGCCAAATAGAATAATGAATTGTAGCGCTATGACATGTTGCTCCTTTATAAAATAATTTTTATCGATCATGAAACATTTTCAAAATTATCAAAATTTACAAAATTTCCAAAAAAACAGTTTAATGTGTCCGTCCCAATTTTAAAATTGTCTATGAAGTAAGGTAGTAAGATATCTTTGGCTTTTAAAGTTGTAAACTGCGTTGGCCTTCGTGTAGTGGTAGAGGAAAATTCTTTACTGAGTTCCGTGAAGCTGGTAGAATTAGGATCCGTATTTGAGAGTTAACTGTTGATTCTGGTTATCAAACGAGAGTGCTCAACAACGACGAGTCGAAGGAGCATAACTAATAAATAGTTGTTGTTTGGTTTCCCAAAGAGAGTGCTCGACTGCAGTTAAGCAGGAGCATTATAATTCGAACAATTGAAACAAATCAAATTGGCGGGCAAACGATCCGTTTCATGATATGTATAAAAACAATACCAATCATCAGTGCCAAATAGAATAATGAATTGTAGCGCTATGACATGTTGCTCCTTTATAAAATAATTTTTATCGATCATGAAACATTTTCAAAATTATCAAAATTTACAAAATTTCCAAAAAAACAGTTTAATGTGTCCGTCCCAATTTTAAAATTGTCTATGAAGTAAGGTAGTAAGATATCTTTGGCTTTTAAAGTTGTAAACTGCGTTGGCCTTCGTGTAGTGGTAGAGGAAAATTCTTTACTGAGTTCCGTGAAGCTGGTAGAATTATAATGCTCCTGCTTAACTGCAGTCGAGCACTCTCTTTGGGAAACCAAACAACAACTATTTATTAGTTATGCTCCTTCGACTCGTCGTTGTTGAGCACTCTCGTTTGATAACCAGAATCAACAGTTAACTCTCAAATACGGATCATTTTACTGACACCACGGCATCAACTTTAACACGGGTTTCCGCAAAAACCGTACAAGATATAAAACTGAAACTTTTTTAACTGATTCAAATGATTTAATGGCCTTCAAATCAGCATGAAAAAATCGAAAATCGGCCAAGGAATAAGAATTTTAGTACCCAAAATTTGGACCCCCAAGTGGTGTCAAAAACGCGAATTAAATAGGTAATAATTATTTTTACTGGGAGACTTTAGGGTAGGAAACTGATCCGGCCACCAAAGAGCCTTGACACCAGTCTTAAAGGTTTGACGGGTTCCTGCTAGTATTTATAATGTCAAAATATTAGTTGTTATATTTTTTTCTGAAAATTGTCATTTTACATATCATTGGTGAAGTAACTATGTGTTCGCACTGTAAGTGTACAGTGCAATGGTCACAGATAGAAGTTCGATCCTAACAAACTAAACTTGATCATAACAAATACAATTCAATCGAACCATGAACCTTTAGGGAAGTTTTCCAAAACAGACTAACGCCGTGATGATTTTGTTCCTGACACTACTGTTCACAACAGTTGCCTCAAAACCGGCTGACTTGGACGAGATGGACGTCATTGGTGGAGACCTACTGAAATTACCTAAACCTGCATTAGATCTACTCAGCGGACCGAGGAGATCGCACAGATCCAATGAATCCTTAGCTACTCCCTAGTCTGAGTGACACTGGGATTCGAACCCTGAACCTTCTGTACAGAAGGCGGAAGCTCTATTAACCACTAGGCCACCCAGCAGTAGATTAGGTCAATCTAACAATTATGATACAACATTGGTTAAAGGGCAGGCATCGAACGGTTTTAAGGCAATATTTCGTCAACTTTGTCACACTGAAAATACGATACCTCTTTTCTACTGTGAGGTGTCCTCAAAACCCTTTTAACTCATTATCTGATGGTTCTTCTGTCAATCATAGCCCTAAAATATGCTGTTTTGAAAAATTAGCTATAAAAATACAGGTACTTAGTTATCCCCTTATCGGACATAACTTTCAAGGACATTACTTTCATGCTGAAGACCTCAGCGTGAATAATTATGTCAGTGAATAATTATGTCAGTGAATAATTATGTCTGTGGCATTAAGATCCGTGAATAATAAAGTCCGGTAATTATTTCCATTAATTTTTGTGTGTGTGTCCCTACATACCTTATCGGACCTTATTTGGACGGCCTTAAATGAACGGACATAATTATGAACGGACATTAATATGAACGATAGAACTAGAAGGCATTCAAAACCATCAAAAATCCGAATTTTTTCGTTTTTTTTACTTTTTTCATTTCAGCAAATGATTTTTAAATCCATTTTTTATACAGCAAGTAAGAAAAGCAGTCGTTAGGCAGTAAAAATGTTAAAATATGTGTACATGATCAGTTTCAATATCACCTATCATCTTCATCAAATGGGTTTTCGTGCATGAAACAGTCCATGCTTAAATCATCATGAAGTGGTTTTATCTTAGACAACTTTAGGTTAACCTTAACATCATGTGGAGCTTTCCTAGCACTGTTTCATTACCTCCCCTGAGTAATATGAACTATAAAAACGTCGGACAATGTCCTTGGCAACACGATTTACTGTAATATCTAGAGGCTGGAACAAGTTTGTCATGTTGGCGGGGACTAGCTCATGAAGTTGAACTATGTTGTTGAGTGCCATAATTTCGCGTTGACTTTTTCCGCCAAGTGACCCTTGAAAACATAATATACTATTATTAGTAAAGCTAAGTTTTCTATGCCTCCGGCAGACCAAGGTGAACCTTTCCGTAGTTAACTTTATTACGGCACAATAAAAGGTAACTCGGTAATCTGCCGATGCACATCTGGGGCACACCTCGGGCACACCTGGGGCACAAACTCGGGCACACCTCGGGCACACCTCGGGCACACCTCGGGCACAAAGCAGGTGTGCCCGAGGTGTGCCCCAGATGTGCATCGGCAGATTACCGAGTTACCCAATAAAATCCTCATAATTGTCATATTCTGGACAAAAAGTTCAAGTGGAAAAATGTTTGAAAAAAATTCAACGGACTTTAACTTGGACGGACCTTAAATGAACGGACTTTATTTGAACGGACATTAAGATGAACGTTAGGGCCTCCAGCGTTCAATTAATGTCCGTCCAAATAAGGTCCGATAAGGTATATAGATACATAGATAGATAGATATACTTCACGACAATCTGTTGTAAAACAGGGGTTCCAGAAAACCCATTTCCCAATACTCCTGAAGCATGAACTTTATTTACAGTCGATTTGGTCAACGTCTAGACGCCCTGCAAAGTTTCAGATCTCTAACTCAATTTTAAAATGGTTTTTAAGGCACCTGAATATGGCGATTTTGGGTTTTTTACCGAATTTCGTATAACATGCTGGACGCTGGTGCGTATTTTGCGCAAATTTCTTAAAAACCTCCACATAACTATTTTTTATTCCTGTCATCTTTAACATTGAATTAGAATGTTTTGAACTTAAATATACCTGCTGAACTACTTTCGATGAGTTTTAATGCCTGAAAAACAATAAAGGGGATATGATAGTATAGGGGGTAAATAGTATTGTGAATATAATCATGGCAACGGTCATGCTTGCCAGCATTGCATGATAATCAATAGAGCTATATTATCAGATATCGAATATGAATGTGATGATATTCCCCGTATATCAGCTGGATGTCTTATTGAAATGGGATGGTAAATGGGGTGGTAAATGGGGTGGTAAATGGGTTGGTAAATGGGGTGGTAAATGGGGTGGTAAATGGGGTGGCAAATGGGGCGGTAAGTGGGGTGATAAATGGGAAAAATGGGGTGGTTAAATGGGGGTGGTTAATCGGGGGGGTTAATGGGGTGGTTAATTGGGGTGGTAAATGGAGGTGGTAAATGGAAGTAGTGGTAAATGAGGGGCATAGTAAAAGTGTAGAATATTGGCTGTCGTGTGTCGATTATGCATACTGCATTGTGCACAAATATCTCATCAGCTATATAAGGCCTTTAGTCTTTGCAACCAAATTCTACTACCCCTTAATTCTGTGAATTTGACATTTTATAAGTTAATACAAGGCAACCTCGGATTTTCAGTATCCTTACTCAATTTTAATTGCCACAAGTTTAACACTAAACTCTCGTGAGAAGTTGAAATATTTTGAATTAAGTGCTTTAGTTGTACTCACCCCAGAGTATTAAAAACGAGGGTTCCAACCACAAACAAGATGTCTGAGAACTATGAAACCATGCTGAACCATTATCTCTGATCCTGGCATACAGATCACTTTCAACTAAAAAAATGGTTAGATTCCAGTTGAATCAATGGAGCGTATGCGCTTCCAGCCTTCTTTGCCTGGGTCAATATGAACCGTGCTGTCCCATTACCATAGTTAACTATTGGCTCATTACATTTAATCACTTACATTTACTCACAAATACCAGTATATCTTGACATAGCAGCTGTCCCGATACCATTTGTGAACTAGTAACTCACTATTCACAAACACCAGTATATCGTTTCGTTGCAGCCATCGTCACCAATACCATTAGTGAACTACCTTATCGGACCTTATTTAGACGGACATTAAATAAACGGACATTAATATGAAACGGACATTAATTTGACGCTAGAAGGGGCATTCAAAACCATCAAAAATCCGAATTTTGTTGCATTTTTTTAAAACGTTTTTTATTTTAGCCAAAATGATTTTTAAATCCATTTTCTTATAAAGTAAGTAGGATAATGCAGCGTTATTTTTAAGAGTAAAAAATGTTTAAATATGGTGTTTCTTCGGACAGTGCCAGGCGTTCTAAGTGGTGTTCCTAGGGAAGGGTGATCTAGGACCACTATTGTTCATTTTGTTTATTAACG